GTGTCGCTTTGCCGGGAGCTGTGGTCCGCACAGCCCCTCCTCGACTGCACCAACCAGTCACCCGCACGTTAAACTTCAAAGCCAGCTCAGTTCCATTCAACTCATGCTCACCAAGAACTGCAAACGTGTGAGAAAACACTTGACTTTCAGTGTTACACCCACTAACGTGGTTTCTTAACAGGGGCATTCGTGCTGTCAGTGCCACAGTCCAGGCTTTTCCTTGTCATTCCCGTAACGGGACCGCAGCTGTGCGGCCAGACTAACCTGAAGGAAAAGCCTTCGGTACAGGATTACGCTTGTCCTGTTTCATCAGCATGCAGAAAACAGCAGAATCAAATCCTCGTTCCTCAAAGTCATAATGGACACAGCAGTAAATTCGAGCAGGATTTGAAGGGGTTTGTATGCAAAGTCCTTGACCGGTGACACAGAAGGAATAATACTGCACCATCAAGAAAGTGTGTGTGTGGGGGGGTGAATAGACACCACATTTTAGTTATTTTCTTATTAAGAAGGACCTTCAGTTTAGGTGGTTGGCTTGCACTAGGCTCCTTGTTCAATGAGGGGTAAGCCAGTGAGGGCTGAAAACCCTGCTGGATTAAGCTCTTACGTTAGGCACCTCTGAAGTGTCTAAAGTTAGGCAGGATGAACGCGAGCCAAGCTGTTGAACAGATGGAGATGAAATCCTCCTCTTGATAACAGGAACTTTATAGCACTGCCATGGATAAGAAGGGCAGCTAAAAAAAGTCCAGGAGGTAGTTATATAAATTTCAAGGAGGCTTTATCAGCGATGCTTAATGGTAAAACTTTCCAAGAGATCTGGAATATCCACTTCCAGCTGCAGACCCTGGAGCAGCCAAGAAGCTCTGCAACAAAAAGGAGATGGTAACACTAGAGCTACCACACTACGAGACCACAGGAACTTCAGGATGCAGCACAAACACACAAAGCATTAGGAAGCTGGAGCCTGGAGCACACAAGCCTGAAAACTCAGCATCAGCAGTGGCACTTGTCTTGAGTTCAGTGCACAAAGCCAGCTGAGAGGCATCTCTGAACAGAAAGGTGATGGACTAGCAGCAAGTAACTACCCATCTTAGTAATGCCAGAAATGCTACCAAATACACTCATTCCTTTTTGCTTAAAGATCTATAAAATACTCATGCTTACGACAGCACAGACTCAATGTCTTTTTTCCACCTTATTTAGTCCTGAACACCTGCAAATTCATCTTCCTCATCTCAGAAATGACCTGCTTCCTTGTGCTTCCCATGTAACTGCATTTCAAAAGATGTGTGTCTCAGCACAGGATTCGTTTTTCTTAATTAGCAGTGGATATTTCAGATGGAGACAGATGTGAAATACATTGGTCATACCTATTTTTGAGCATCAAAATCCTTCAGGTAGAGATCTAAAATAATCCATAATGACTGGAAACTGACTATAGAATGTTTTGTGTAAAATGCTGTGCAGCAGTTAGTTTCTCATTATGTATGTTCCATGTCCACGCTAAAATGGGGAGTATATGCTCCATGCAGTTTTGAGGCGATGCTTACTTAGAGTGGAAGAGATCTGAACAATAAAGCAACTTCTCCCTTTAAGTACCTCATCTTTGAAGGAAAGAGGAAAGTTCACTAGTACACTGTTTCCCACTCCCTCTGGAGAAGACAAGTGGATGAAGTGCTTTGGCCTTGGGTTGTTTCTTCTTCTCCCTTACTTACCTTCAAACTTTCTCCAGTTGTAATTACTCAGGAATTGCAGAGCTGAAGCTACCAAAGGATGCACCTCTCTGAAAGACAAAGCAGCAGAGACTATGCACAACCTTAAAATGCCATTCACTTAAGGCAAAAGTATGGTTGGAGAAGTGACAGCGTGATAAGGGCCTCCTGGAGCAGGGCTGCTTATAGTCACCTTTAGTCATTTTGATGACAAAAATACATTTTTAGTCCTTGTTATCTCTGCAGAACACGGGCGGCCAGGGGAGCCTGCGCTGCACTGACCCAGTTAGTGCAGTCACCCCACTGCACAGCTCAACCCTCTGTTCAGCTGTAACTACAGAATCATAGTGAAGATGATGCGAATGACACTTGACCCCACAGAATTTGCTACTGATGATGATAAGCAGAGCTAGCCTGCATTTGTTTTGCAGATCCAAGCAGAATTTGGAGGGCCATGGGAAAAAGATGTTCTAAATGGGGCATGTTTGAGAAATACTGAGTCACAGCCTCAAGCTGCACAAGGTCATTTTTGCAGTTTCTTCTTTTTTTTTCCCAAAGCAAACTCTAGATTTTATTACATAAAGCAGTGTTGGCAACACTGAGAATATGCAGACTATTTTAGCAAAGCCCTTTGCAGCATGACTATAGTTTCAGTCTGAAGAAGCTTGCAGATGCTACTGCTTCTACTTGAAGAAGAGAATTACTTTTATATTGCAAAATATTTAATGCGTTTCCTGTTAAAATGAAACGAAACAACAAAAGTTATACAATTTTACTAGTTTATATTTCAATTCATAAAGTATACACACTGCAACTATGCTACCACAATGTCCACGCATCTAATATTGATGGAGTTACAGTAATTCTTTTTTTTGGTATTAAACAATAGAGATAATGTATGCAGTTAAGGAAAAAAGCTTGGACATAGCATGTTCTATTCCGTAGTTACAGAGTACATTAGCTAGCATTAGTACAGTAAACAAGAAAAAGGTAGAAATACAAAATAAACCAAATATCTTTATATACAAACCAGTGCCTCTTATTGTTACCAGCTTATACTCACACTGCACACAAAATTTATCCACTGATGCAATAGATACTTCAGCATAACACAAACCATTATAAATTAAAAAAATTACAAGGTGCAAAACTCCATTCTACAGCTTTCTGGTGAGAACTCAATACAATCCAATGAGTAAGAAATCCAAGCACGTTTAGCACCTATTAGTGCAACTGCAGCGAGCGTGAAGAATGACCTACACAACCTCTGAACATGTTACCAGGGAAGCGAGTTGGACAGCTAGAGATGCTCGCAGCTACACTCACGCAGTGATTTTTGCCTCATATATATCTCAGTTTATTGTTTCTTTGTCCCATTCATACCTATGTGCAAAACTAAATCCTGGAAGCTTTCTCAGAGCTTCGCAGAAGGCCTGCTACAGCCGGGTAAAAACAAACAAACAAAGAACAAAAAACCTGACAAAAAAACAGACAAAAAGACTCAATTCAATGTCAGACCATCCACATAATTAGTACTTTTTAGCAGTCCTGGTGTTGGGGATTTTAACGCTTGTTGATATGTGGATCAAACAATATGACACAGAAGTGAAACGGAAATTTGCCAAGAATTCAGATTATTCTTGTGTAGCACTTAGACATGTCTCCCAGCCTCAGGTTGTGAATTTGTTTGGCAGCCCATGCCAAAAAAGCCCAGAGTTGCATAGAATTGATAAGTAACAGAAAGAAATGCCAAACACAGAGAGATGGATGCTGCGTCTACTAAAACAAAGTGGGGTTGCTTGACAGGAATGCTGAAATCATCCCCATTCATAAAGCAAAACATGTCACCTCCTACTCTCCATATCCTACCTCTGGGGACTGCTTTCTGGCACTGATGTAGTTCTTGCTAAAGTTGTCTCTTTTTTTGTTGTTTTTTCCTTTTTTCCTCTTTTTTTTTAAGTTTTATTTTTTTCTTTTTTTTTTACTTTGTTAGTGACACTTTTCCTTTCAAATAAAATATTAAAAAAGGTTATAACTGTAAAAAAACCTATCATATGTAAACTTAACAATTAGGGTTTGGTAAGTTCTCGTACCTAGTCTGTGAAAAGCCTCCAGCCAGACCGCAGAATGGAGTGTTTCTCTGAAGAGCTTCAATCTAGCTACATCACCTGTTAAATATCAGTAGTATGAAGAGCCCATGTCTAGCAATAAAACCTTTCTTGTGTTTCCATCCTCTTTATCACTGACCTATTGACATCCCAACATGCTGTGTTTGTATTTTATTTACATTCTGGTCCTCTCATGTCACAGAATTAAACATCTGGCCAAGGAAGGCAACAAAAGGTGTTGTGTTAAGAAGGTGTGTTTGACAGAACTCCTTTTCAACAAGTCTCTTTTCCTTGGACTCCAGTCACTGTTTTTATAGAGCTTATTGTTCTGTTGAACCATGTTTTCTTTGCAGCTTGTACTTCATTCAATGCCAGACCCAAATGGTGCTCCAAATCCTGCAAACAGAAGAGCCATTTCAATAATTTGTGATGTATTCACAGCACAAGGTTGTATGGGTTAAACGTAGAAGGCTCTAGAACACCCACAATCTGTTGGCCACTTCAGAAGCTAAACAAGTCTTACATAAAGAAGCACAACAAACTGACGAGGGGGAAAAAAACAACTCTCTCAAAAGCAAAACAAAATCAATGTCATTGCCCTTGGTGAAACATTCACCTTTCTTCAGTACATCTAAACCCTTTAATTCTTTCCCATCTCGAAGGAGCTATTCCCACAGGAAGTGGACTTTCTACAAACTAATTTTTACCTTTCTTGTGAACAAGCAGCACCGACATACCAGTTTTAGGCTAAAAGAACAATGTTGTCATGTTTTACACAAATACGTCAAATACCTGGAGTGCTTACCACTCATGTTTTAAGAAACATGTCTAACATTTGTGACATGTTCCTTCTCCATTTAACATTGACTGCGAGATAAAGAAATACATGAGTCAGTACTTTGTCAGAGCTTGGATTTCTTCCAAGAAGTCGCAGAAGATCAGTCAGGAAGTGCTGCACTGCAGCCAGGCAGATGTCTGGAAGTTGTAGTAGCTGGTAAATACAGCTCATGCAATTTCAATTATTTTGTCTGCATACACAAAGTTTCAGGCCCAGTGTTTGGTTAAATAACCCATACAGGAAATAGCAGGTTACAGTTTCAACCAACCGGCTCTGTTCCAATCCCTCTACAACAGACAAGTTTTTCTAGGAAGGCAGACATGTCACATAGACTACAAAATGAACCTCCAGAGCATTACCTGTATTTTACATTCTGCCTCCACAAGCTGCAACTTGGTCTGGGCCAGCTCAAGCTCCATTTCCCTCAGCTGGTTTTTCAGTGTTTCCTTCTCCTCGTCTGTGTCCTCGTCTGAACCGTCCTTGGCAGAACTGGCAACCTTCACCCGGCCTTCCTTGTTGAAGAACTCGCGGCAGTGCTCACAGTCATCCACTTTTTGCTAAAGTAAACACCTGATTGTGAACGCCTGCATTGAAGTGCTGGTGATATGATCAAAGCCTTTTCCTGCCTCTGCTCTGGAAGAGCAGCACAGCATGAGAGGGACCACTGATGACTTGCAAACTCAGGAACTTCTGGGGAAGTACAGCCAAGCAGGAACTCCTGCCACCCCCAGATTTATGGGCTCTGGGAACACTGCTGTATTGTTGGTAACACTCTATTGCTACAGTAAGTGGGCTCTGTACTACCTGTATTTACTTTATGGTAAAAGACAGTCAGAGAAATCTCCTCCAGACAAAAAAGACCCCTCAAAAAATTAACAGCTAGTGCTGCCCAGAGTCAACATTAATACGTAACCAATACAGCATAGGAGAGAGCTGACAGTTACTCATCTCTTCTCCCAAGACTTCCCCTTTATAATGTTCTTTCCGAAACTGTAAGTCACTAATGAACTCTCTCAACCACCATTTGAGTAATGAAATAAACTGTGTGCTCACTTTTACGATGTTACTAAGATATTTAAACATTGTAACTGTGGATCTATCTGGTCTCTTACCCGTATTTTCTCAATTTCAGCTTTATTTGCTGTTTGTTGCTTTTCCAGTCGTTCACTCAGCTGGGAACAAATCTGACAAGCAAAATTATGTTACCACACCATTTATACATGTAAATTTCCTCCCAGATGAATGCTAAAGCACAACTAAATGCTACAGGAATATTAATATGGATAGTCTGAGGGCTTTTAGAAAGCCAGGAAAATTGGGATGCTGCATTAAGTTGCCTCATTGTACATATTCTCATTCTCTACATATTCTGCTATGCCCACAGGAAAAGGTGCAGTTTCGACAGAAGTTATTAGCAGTTTAGCTTTGCTTAAAGGAGCCAGAAAAGGCTAGGAATAGCATAGCTCTTTTTGTTGCCTTTGGGGTAGAAGAACCAGGCAAGACAGCCAGAGTAGCAAAAAAACCCAGCTCATTCCTCGAGACCTGTGTGATGCAGACTTCGGAATGTTCTGAAGGTTACGGGCCCACTAGAAAGATAGATGAATTTGCTGCCTTGGTATTTTATGCTTGAATTCCAAAGCAAAACTCTTCGAAAGGAAAGAGGCATCTTTTTTATTTCTTAAGTGCAGCTATTATTTGATTGAAGGGAAACTGGAACGTTGTTTTGGTGAATGAGGTGAACTTTTGATATACACAAGCCCATTTGAACAATGTTAGGTTATAACTGAGGTTGTGGTGACTGATGACCAACAAATACACTAGAGGCAAACAGAACTTACCACCAAACTTCAGGATCTCAGCAAAAGAAAAAGCAAAACTCAAGCTTCCCATTTAAAACAGCTAAAATGCCTCCTCAAATGCATGACACACATTAAACTTATTTCCAGAAATCTCCCAAAATACCTGAGAAAGGCTCATAATTTGATAGCAAACCACATCATCATTAACTTGTACTTACCTGTTTGTAGTCACCAATGATAGAGCTGTTCTTTTTGATCTCTGACTCTGCCTTATCTAGTTCCCTACGACACATTTCCTTCAGCTGGGAAATAAAAAAATAAAGGGTTTATGTATTTTTACAGTGTGAAAAAAAAATACCCAGGTGGTATTTCCTCCTCCTTAACCTCACTGCTGTACACTACCCCAAGGAACAATGGTCTAGGTCAAGTCCATGCAGGCAAGGAAAAGCTGAACTTTGGGTGGCCGTCATTGTTAGAAATGTTGACTAGCCAAGAGAAGAGTGCTCACAGCTGAACTCCTGTCTCTTTGTGCAGAAATCTCTGGCACAGTTTGTGCTTTCACGATTTCAAGTTAAAAATTCACTACCCTATGAAGCACCTTGCAGGAAGGTGAAGAATCCTGCTTTGGTGACATCCTTTGCACTACAGAAGAGGGACAAACATGGCTTAGTACATTAAGCCCTTCCCACACTTGTAATTTTATTTTATTTTTAAAAATGTGTACTGCACAGACATGTGAAAATGCCAGAAATGCCCCTAACCTGAGCTGATTCTTCTTCCAGGCGCCTCTTTTCTTCTTCTGCATCAATCAGCTTCTGTTTGGTCATTAGCAGTTCCTTATTTAGAGCATCTGCCTTCTCCTCCGCCTGAAACAGAGTGGAATACAGCACTGAGAGCGGCACTTGCTGTGTCGCCACAGGCTCAGGCTGCAGTAGGACACAGCCAAGACTGCAGCTCTTTCATTCTTATTAAGGGCCTGTTCATTGTTATTAATAACAACAAAACATTATGCTTAACATTCTTTTTCTAAAAATTACCATCTGCAACAGCAAAGCAGCATCAAATCAGAACCGACAAGGCTGTACCACTACATTCCAGCACTCCAGAACTCCTCCTTGAATTCAGTGCTTAGTTTTAGCAAAGCTGCAGTAGGGATTGCTCCAAAGAAATCCAGCAACAGAAGTAAGTTTATCTCATCCAGACTGGAAGTTGACCAATGCATTTTGAAGACAAGCCACAGAACAGCTCACAATGTGCATGATCCAGAAAAACTACAGCCAGCTTCGACCAAAGTTCAATTTGCAAACGTTCAGCTTTGCAATGAAAACGGAATTAATGAAAAATGCCTCTAGAACATAAAAAACCCTCCAGAACTCTATGACACCTACCAATGGCTGTGATACCACCTTTGTTATGTCACCCAGAAAATACTGCATGAAAAAACTTAGCTGCCAAAGCAAATGTAAGAGTCAGACCCCTCTCTCCTTTCCTCCTTAAAGAGGTGCCTCACCAGAAACCACACAAGCCTTTTATACTGGAGGTTTTTTATAGAATAAAGGTGTATTGTTGAAAAATCTCAGGCTCTTTATAAACTAAAAACTCTCTCTGCAAAGTTGAGACACTTTTCCTGTCTTATACACAGCAATGCAGTACTTCCCAATAGGTGTATGAATTCTACATAAAAATAGATCAATAACTCAACTGCTATATAAAATCTTCAGAAAGCAGCTGTACCAATTCCCTTCAAAGGAAGAAAATCAAAAAGTGAATTTTAGTCCCTTAAAGTCCTGCTGATCTTTTAAAACAGATGGCAAAGGCAAAGAGAACATCTTTTCATTATACATTGGTTTTAAGCTGTTTTAAAGTTAAAGAAAACTGGGATGTGGGAGTCCAACAACAGTAGAAAAATGAAGCCTATTTTCTGGTCTAGTGCAAAGGATATTAAGGAAATCATTTTATTTCCAAATGTTTTGCTTTGATCTTTTAGGTTGCAAGATTTCAGACATGCCATGAAGGTATTAGAAAAGGTGAGTTAAACAATGTCCTTTGGTACTTTTCTTTCAGGATATCTGGCTAGTAGAACAAAACTTACCAGTTCGGGATCCAATTAGAAGAATGAATCAGGGTCCTAAAGTAGATCAAACCTACCTATCTACTCCTGGGGGATAACCCAGATGCTGCCAACATCATTCACCATCTTTGAAGGCATGACTATCACACATCCAATGAGGTATCTCAAAGATTTGGCTTAATTTTGTTCCTTTCCCACCTCTCCACTTAAACAAATTGATGTAAAAGGATAACTCTGTCTCATACCGGTTCAAGCAGCCACAAACAACAGTTAATAACTGGTATGAAAAACTCCTTTGGTACATTTTTGGCAGGAGTTTCACCCCCGGAGTGCAACTGCTGGGCAGCTACATACCCTTCTAGAAATATCTTCAATGAATTAAGCAAGCACAGGTAACAGGACATGAACATACCAATGCGCTGTGAAACCCTCCTTCTAGAACATACTTCTGTGATTCACAGATTTGAACACTAAAGAGCAGTAGATGTAATAAACCTGAAAGTCATAAACCAAACCTCATTAAAAGCAACATTCACTCACTGGCATCAACATTTACTATGAATATTTTTCCAACAGCAAGTTTCCAGGAGGCCGTGGGAAACCTGAAATCTTCTGAAGCAGATAAGCTGAAACATTTTAAAGCCTGTCACCTCCTGCACTGTATGATTTTCGAAAGTCATTTTCCTTTGAGATTTCAGAAATGGACTTATCTTGGTACAGAATAAGAATGGCAAAACATGAGCACTTGAACTCTTCTTCTGCCCAAGCAGACAGACTAAATGCATTCTACCCTACCACGTCTACTAAGAATGCCAGCATCCTTCTGTCTCTGCATGTTCTAATACAATCTCCCAAACATGAGTATGCAAACATGGGAATGCGACAGCAAGCTTAATGATAAAAAATCCTGTAACACAAAGCAAACCCAAAGTTTCCTCCCGAGAGCTCTACTGATATGGGAAACAACCCAGGATGATGAGTTCACATGGGCAGATTTCAACAAGCCAAATGGAAACCACAATAACATTTTCAGAGTTGCCTAAGGTACCTGAGAACCTGATTCCACTGAGAGCCAGACAGACTCAGACTTTCAAGTTTATTAGGCACTTTGCAAAAGCCTGTCTGCTGTGAAATCTTATTCATAAGAATACCAGTGGAAGGAAAACAGAAAACAGCATCCGTGTTATTATCTCTGCGACAATTCAAAGATTTGACTTAGCTCCTGCTAGACTTCCTTTTAATATACATAGAGAAGGAAGCAACTACTCAAGTACAGGCTCAGAACCACTCCTCTGCCTCAGATTAATCTGAATGGTTTTCAGAGTAATTAGGATTTCAGTCACCAGTCCTGTTTCCCATGGACCTATATATCATCAGTCTGCAATGAGGACAGGGAGGAAAGAATCCTATCCTACCCAAATAAAAAATACTCTATATAATCTCCTCTCCAATGAAGGGGTAATGAGGAATCAGCCCTAGTACTATGTCTCCACTAAACAGAGTAAAGATATGTCTTACATTGTCTAAATCTTTTCGCAGAGCAATCTTGCTGGTCACCAGCTCATGTGCAAGATCATCATTTTCCTGCTCAAGCCTCATGTTTGCTTCCTGCAGGCGCCGGTTCTCACGCTGTGGGAAACAAACACACAAACAATTATCAAGAACAAGATCTTCCCAGGTCTTTGTCTTCAAACACAATTCTACTGTGCCTAAGCACAAACGCCTACCTTGTATCTTAAGCACGCAAGGACTTGAGAAAAAATTTAGCCATATTGTAAATATAAAATAAAGAACATGAAGTATTAATCCTGAGAAGAAACCAGGTATAAATAACTCCGCTCAGCTACTACTTGTTGAGCTCCACAAATGTTTTTGAAGGCTGCAATAGTAGAGGTATCATTCTGCAACAAATACCTTGCCAGAAGGTTCCTACAAGTACTGATTTTTCTTGGCTCAAAATAGAATTTGCATGCTTGGAAACAGGTGAGAGAGGAGAATCTGGGCAAAACCACTCTATTTTCTGCCTCCTGTTACAACTCCCAGCACACCTCCAGGGAGTAAAGAAAGTTTACACAAAACTCTTCAGCTTTAAAATATACAAATGTATATGTGTGTGTGTTATTTTGCTACATATATGCATAATTTTACACGTAAGATTTATTCCTGTGTTTATTTTATAAATAAAATATTTAATAATT